GTCATCGGCCGCGTGGGCAAGGGCGCGGCCGGCGCGCTGCAGCAGCTGGCGGCGCAGGGGCCCGGCGTGGCGCGGATGATGGCGGAGGCGGCAAACAGCTACATGGCGCCCGGCACGCCTGGCGAGGCCCAGTCGATCCGCACGGCTGCGGCGGCAGCGGCGACTCCCGGCGCGGGTGAGCGTTGGCTGGCGTTGCGGACCTCGCGCAAAGCTTTCCAGTGCTGCACAAAGCTCCTCAAAATCGCTGCACCTACGTTTTGCCATGTGCTGTGTGTCAACTGAACCCAATCGCACCCTCCTCCCCCCCCTCCCCAGCCGGCCCCAACGTGGCGATGCTGTCCGGCCCCGAGCACGTCCCGGGGCAGCCCGCCGTCCCCGGCGGCAGGCTGTCGGCCGGCGGCGCCCCCCAGGAGACTGAGCTGGAGCGCCGCACGCGGGAGCTGCAGGTGGGGCGCGCGGCTTGGGCCTTTAGCACCCACTCAACCAAACCGCACACAGACACACGTATGAACACGCGCACACACACACATACACACACACACATGCACACACATGCACACACACATGCACACGCTTGCTCATACAAACGCACCACTGTTGCGGGGTCGGTGCCTGCTATGCTACGCTGCCAGGCAAGGTTCAGTGCGTTGCGTGTTGTGTGTCCTCAAACGGCTCCGCTTTTGGCTGCGTGCTGCAGCTTTCAAGCTGCAACTGCACTACACTCTGAATCCGAGACATCAAGGCGGCACACTTCTTGGCCCCACGACCACCCTTTCTTGGCTCGGATTGACCAATCGCAACTCCACCCCCCTTGTCGACGCTTTCGCAGGCCAAGCAGCTGGCGCTGATGCAGGAGCGGCGGCGCATGGAGGAGGAGCGGCTGCTGGCGGCGCTGCCGGCGCCGATGGGCTTCCACAAAGGGCGCCCCGTGGCGGCGCTGGTGGTGTTCCGCTGCTGCCTGCAGTGGCGCGCGTTCCAGGCGGACAGGACGTCGGTCTTTGACCGCATCATACACGTGAGCACCGGGAAGTGGGTTTGGGAAGGCAAGGGCCCGGAATGACGCTGGCGCTGGCTTTGAAGGGTGCGGGGCGTAGCGACCGTTTTAGAGGGAAAGCTGGTGCAGCCGCGGGGCCCTGCTTCGCTCGCCGTCGCCCCTGGTGCTGTGCGGCTGCTGGCTCTCGCGCCTTGTTCTTGAGAATCTTGCCAAGTATCTCTCCGATGGAAACTCATCCAGACAACCACACACACATTCAAACACACACACACACACACACACACACACACACACACACACACACACACGTGCGCGCACCCACACACTCATACATTCACATACTTTGCCGCACCACTTGCTGATGTCACTCGTAGGTCATTGGCGCCCAGATCGAGCGCCACCAGGAGGACAACCCCCGGCTGTGCTACTGGCTCACCAACACCACCACGCTGCTGTTCCTGCTGCAGCGCAACATCAAGCCGGCCAGCAGCGGCAGCCTCAAGGGGCGCGCGGCGGCAGCAGGGCGCGCGGCGGGCAGCATGCTCAACAACTGGCTGGGACGCGGCGCGTCGATGGGCGGCGGTGAGCCGCTTCGTATTGCATTCCACATCAGCTTGCTTCCAGCAACCGTCGGGCGCTTGTGTGTCGTGAGAACGCTTGCATGGCTTCCAGCCGGCGTCAGGGGGCAGCTTCCCATCTGCTCAAGGCACCAGCAACCCGCCACCCTTCTACACCTCGCCTCACACCTCACCTCTCACCCCTTCCCGCCTCAACCCCCACCGCCGCGACGCCTAAACAACCCCCGCAGGCGAGGCCTCCATCCATGGCGGCGGCGTGGGCGGCTTCCGCCTGGTGGAGGCCAAGTACCCCGCCCTGCTGTTCAAGCAGCAGCTGGATGCGTTTGTGCAGAAGATCTTCCCCATGCTGCGCGACAACGTCAAGAAGGCCATCACGCCCCTGCTGGTGGGTGCATCACCCGTGCGGCGTCACGCAGGGGCCCGCGCGCTCCTCGCATGTGTGCGTACTGCAAATCGTGTGGGCTCGCGCGTGTGCCTGTGCCTGTGCTGCATGCCACTTTGGATCACTTTGCCTAAACTGCGGTCTGAACCTCCTGCCCTGTTCAAAATCCGCCGCCCTCTCTCGCACAGGCCCACTGCATCCACACGCCCCGCGGCGCAAGCGGCCGCGCCCTCGGCCCCAGCCGCCGCGCCACCAACAGCGACGTCAGCGGCGGCGCAGCGGGCGCGGCCAGCGGCGGCGGCGCGGCGGCGGCGCAGGGCAAGGCGTGGGCGGAGATCCTGGGCGTCCTGGACGGCCTGCTGGATGACCTGCGCGCCGCATACGTGCCCAAGCCCCTGGTGCAGGTGGGTGGACCTGTGTTGAATTGCACCGCCTCTGTGGGCGGCTTTGAGCATACGGTAGTCGTGGGGTCCGGGGGTTTGCGGCATTGGTGCGTTGGGGCCAGGGGTGCGGTTCTGAAGCGCAGCAGAGCCAACAGGTCGAGGTGCGAGGCCGAATTGCCCTGCCGTACCCCCTGGCCAGCTGCAGGCTCTGTGCTTGGCTGCGCAGGCACCTGCTGCTGCCTGCGCGAAACACCCCTGTGACATACGTGCGCCCCGTCCCACCCCCTGCGCACTGCACCCTGCAGGCGCTGTTCCGGCAGCTGTTTGCGTTTGTCAACGTGCAGCTGTTCAACCAGCTGCTGCTGCGCCGCGAGTGCTGCTCCTTCAGCAACGGGGAGTACGTCAAGACCGGCCTCGCGCAGGTGGGGGATGGGGTGGCGCGTGCGTGTGGTTGTGTGTGTGACTTTGTGTAGGTGTGTGTGTGTGTGTGTGTGTATGTTTGTGTGTGTGTAGGTGGGGGGTGGGTGGGTGGGGGTGATTGGGAGCATGTGGTTCTGGCCTGCACGTGCGTGGCGCCGGTTTCGTCGTTCGTCCTGGCGTGCCGCAGCACCCCCCGCTTCGTCCAGGCTAGTGATGCCAACACAGCTTTGATAGTAGATTCGGCAGCCGGGGCTCGCCCCGGCGATGACATCACCGTATGGGAACTGAAGCCTTGCGGGGAACGGCACACCGCACACACAAGTTTTGTTGTTCGTGACGCATGCATGTGTGTGCGTGCATGCAATCGTTCATGTCAGCCATGCAAGTGCTTGCATGCACGCGCGCACGTGTGTGGGAGGGGGGAAGCGCTTTTGTTGTGCGTTCGCAAGGTTCAAACTTACAAGCCGGGGGGCTGCACGTAACGAAAGGCTGGGCTGGCCTTGCACATCAGGGGGCTCCGCAGGCCGCTTGCAACGCTATGAACAAACCCGTCTTTGACCTTGAACACCCCCCCCAACACACACACCCACACTCACACACACACAAACACAGACACGAGCACACACGAGCATATACTCACAAACACTCGAATGTTCTTTCTCATCTCCACCAGGTTGAGACCTGGATCCAGGAGCGGGGCACCGAGTGGGTGGGCGACAGCTGGGACGAGCTCAAGTACATCCGCCAGGCGGTCACCTTCCTGGTCATCGGCAACAAGCCGCGAAAGACGCTGGAGAACATCACGCGCGACCTGTGCCCCATACTCTCCATACAGCAGCTCTACCGCATCAGCACCATGTGGGTTTTAGGGGAGGCGCATGTGGTGTTGATGGGCGAACGTGAAGTTGATTGCAGGGAGGGTGCGAAGCGACCTGGCAACTCAGCTGAGCACACGCACTTTCGTGCTGGATTTACGAGGCGCATGCCAATTCGCATGGGAGGCACGCGGGTGACCACACCCGTGACGCCACACTTCCAAGCCTCCCGCCAACAGCAGCGCTGACCCCATTCAGCAAATCCGACATGCCCGACCTCCCTCTCCCCCTCACCCTGACCCCGGCTCGACCCCCCCTTACCCCACACACATCGCCACTGCCACCCCTCTCAACCCTCCTC